TCGCAAAATCGCGGGAGATTAATAATATGACATGATAAAGCACCATGATGAATATAGCACACCAAACACAACGCGACAACACGCACAGAACCAATCCAGTTCTAACACCGAATCAACATATTTTTACAAAGGTAAGGTTAATGGGCGATTAAAACGAGTAAACAAGATCTTATGACGAGGCCGAAAATTTTATCATAAGGTTAGTCAATCGCTATTGACTAAATTTTGAAATAAATGCGTCTTATAGAAATTAGTGCTAAACAATTTGAGACAGCCTAATCAGCCATATCATACGTAATATTTGCGTAACACATGTGTGTACTTAGAGAATAAGCATGTCATCTGCGGAGCATCCTGGGGATTCACCATGTTTACCAGAGGGCTCAACTCTTGAATTAAATACATTGTAGACGATTTGTACCTATAAGTAAGAAGGAGACCGACTTTTTGCCGTGATATGAATGTGGTCAAGGGGGCCACCTGAGTGCCTTCAAGCAACATTTTCGATCGAACAAAATGTTACATCGTTTACTTCCTCCCTTTAACGTGAAGTTCCACACCTTCCTATCGTCAACTTTTCCTCACCAGTCATTTTGTCTTAATCGTTTTTGGAAGGATACTGCCACACGTTAGTGCAGCGTCCCAAGACTTCCTATAGTGCAGAAGAAGGCAGTAATTGAAACCGGGTACATGTATTCCAAAGAGGACATAGCAACTGTGCCTGAGCATGGCCCGAAGGCCAGCCCCACGTGTACAAGGGCCAGACAAATACTAAAGTAGCGGCCAAACGTCATAGGGTCACATAAGCAATACATCACAGTTGGCTGTGCTAGTCATCAACGCCTACGCTAATGAAGTGAGTTTATTGGCCTCGCTGTTACTCGTCTATCTTTGTATATTAGACTGATTCTGACGTGTCATCTACGTTGAGCTAAGAAATTCGAGATAAATAGTTCTGTCAACCGTAATGAGTACGCATAGCCTGACGTTGAGAGATGCCTTAAAATAATTATTATAAGTAGGAACAGCTGAATTAAAAAGATCCATAAGATGGCACCCAATGCTCAAGGTGAAAACAAATAACTTAAATACAAATCAAAATCACGTGGTTAATGGTGGGTGGGATTTTGGTAATTAAAATTTGAGCTATGGATGTAGCGTACCAAGACTTCCTGGTCGGTATAAGAAGTCAGTAAGTGCAGGACAAAGATGGACCTGGTCATGGCCCGAAGGCCAGCCCACGTGGACAAGGATTAGGCAAATCCTAAAGTGACCGCCAAATGTCATGTGGTCACATAAACAGTGTTACAGTGGAACCCATGAAGCCATAGATGAGGAGGACTTAAGTCATTCTTAATCTTTCTATTATAATGGAGTTGGCGATTTGGTCATCTGTAGCGTCTAGACTGTACTCGAATCATTGAAGTTTGGCCAAAATGGCAAGAATCAGAAGCGAATTCATTTTATTATCAGAACAGCCTTCCTCTTTCGTCAATATCTCCTTCGATGCTTCATAATAAGTAGTAGAATGCATTATACTTAGATACACTGCTTATGTGGAGCAAAGAGTTGAGATGTAGGCCATTAACATGATTTAGAAGCTGTTTCAC